TGTTTATTCTACGTGTCAGGAGCGATTGTTAATCTTTTCTCGATGATAAAATTATGAACGTAACATTAACATTTGTTGTATTTGTACTTACGTATTTTACTCTTTTCGGTAATCTAAACATTTATAAGTTATCATGTAATGGATAGCTTTCCGATTCTATTTTCAAGACATTTCTGATGTTACTTTAATTTTTCATTTAAAAAATGTTCAAACGGGATTCTGCAAAGTTCAATTCGCTATATGTATATACGAGACATCGTAATCCATACGCAATGAGATAAATAATATCCTCATCTATTGGAGAACACTATGAACTTTCCTAATGACCCAGTATTTCAGTCACCGAGCATAGTTGCAAGCTCCACGAATAGACTAACAATCGCTCTTCCAAATTCTTCTAGAATTAATCTCACGCTAAATTAAGACTCGCACTGTGTCACTTTTCCATGCATTGAATTGAACATGTATGCAGTGAATCGTCCGCAAAGATTAAGAGGGTATTCTGATCTAGAACTTTAAAAAATCTATGTTCTTTTGGCATTATCTCAAAATGTAGATCTTGTATAAATATATACCCTCCATAGGGTTTTGTTAAATTCAGAAAATTAATGAAGTTACAGACGTCGAAAGACAACGGTATATAAATATATGTATCTGGTATGAAAATCTGTAAACGCGATTTCCTCGTATTTTTTCAAATGGTTGCTATTAGATCTCAAGTTCTAGTTTACTAAATGATTTAAAATTTCGAATGAATAACAAAAATTGAATAAATTGTGAATATTTGTTAGAACTGTGTGTTTCGATATATCTGTTAATGAATATTTTTAATTTAACTTCTTTTGGAACGACTAGAGAATACTATTAGGTTGTCCCGAAAATTTCTTTCGTTTTATTAATAATTAATATATACACAATATTTTATGTTTTATGTTACATTACTGAATTGTGTACGATTCATTTCGCTTCATTACTGTTACAGCATCACTGTCTAAGAAATTAGATTGTCTATTTATATAAACACTGCCACAGGAAATAATTGAATGCGACTCACGAAAGAAACTTTCGGGACAACGTAATACTTTTGTCCAAGTAGAATTAGAATTATGAACACTATGGAAGGCAGTGACAGCTATGAACATACTTTTTTCAAAAGGGATATACTTCTCTTTCGTTAAACATAAATTATATATTAGGTGTAACGAAAAGTCACTTCTTTTACATTAAATTCAAACAAATACATTCTTAATAAGTCTCTATTTTTAATCAATTATGTAATCACCGTCGTTATCAATAGCCTTTTTCCATGTAGTGTGCAAATCTTTAATGCCAGATGGATAAAAATCAATGAGTTGATGAATGATAAAGGAGTGTCGAGATCCAGTCCACCTAATATGTTCTCGAAATATGTATAAATATATATATCTACTTCCCCGTAACAAAATTCCTTATGGATTTACACTAAAAAAATCCAAAAGAATACTTAAAAATCATTTCTCTAGATTAGAATATCCTATTAATTAGTTCTCCGGAAATTTTACGCTTTTCTTTGCTTCAGACTGTGCCGGAGAAGAAATCGGCGGCCGGCGTGGCTCAGAATGGCAGCACGCCCAAGCGTCGCGTTACGCCCATCCACAAACCAAAATCCACGGCCAACAGCGAGGCGAACAAAAAGGCGAGAGAGGCGAGAGAGCAGGCTCGAAGGCAGCTGATCGAGGAACGAAGGCGCGCGATGCGCTCCAACGCGCAAAATTCCGAGGATACCGTCAAGATCTTTGCCCCCGACACGTAACGATAAAAAAAGGGCCTGTGCTCTGCCTCGAGCCAGATCAAAATTGCGGTATTTTCTATGGATTGTCTCTTGTACGCTTGATGATTTCGAGGCGCGTTGGCCCGCAATTCTCGATGCTTTTTCGACAAAAAAAAAAAAAAGAAGTAAACAAAAAAAGAACGTTGATTCCCGTCGCACGCTCAGCGATATTTACCGAATCGACGATGTTGTAATTTCCGATGAATAGTATTATGAAACGACATACGCGTTGTGTGCAGCACGCCCACAGTTAGAGGGTTTCGTTGCGTAAAGCGATGAAAATTATGCGTCAGACTGTTCCGTAGAGAGTTGCCTTGTAAACAATTACAGACATGCTTCGACTACAATCAAATACGCTTCGCGTTGTTGGTAGAATCGAGCATTTTGCCTACAGCGGAACACCGCAGTTCGATCACACACGGTATACAATGTGCCCTACTAGAATATTTTTTTTTCATCTTCTCTGAATCACAGATATATCATTCGACAGAAAATCGCACCTTCGCAAGAAAAATGACACAACTTGAAAATTAATTATAGAACTATATCATATACTTGATCATAAAATTGTGTAGGGGATAAGTTGTGTTATCAATAGGAAAAGTACCACAAATGTTGTTCTAAATAATAAACATTTTGCGAGTTATGTTACTTTTCTTAGGTGCGATATATTCTTTTCTTCTTTTGCATCATGTCACAAACATCGATGTGCATTAAATCATACATCATTAACCGAATCGTGAAGCATTTTTTGCAGCTCCGTGTTTACCGTTCGGAGCCATTAAAATTATGTTTGAAACATCGTTTCGTGTCGATGAAAATAAAGGGACGAGTGTCCTTTTTCTAGTAGGACACCCTGCATATTCGACAGATATTATCGAATCGACGAAGTTACGAATTTTTGGAGATTGACTTTACATTTTTAAAATGTTTTGGAACAATTTCTATTTTATTATACGGTGTTCTCGACCTACACTTACACCTTCGTTCCTCTTCGATATTTTCACGCTGTGATGTTTCGTGCTAATCTTGTTACGTTTTAATATCGATTTACGCTATCGTTCGATTTTCTACGATGTTTATCCGGTTCATTTCGCGGAACGGAATAGCACAGTAACGTTGAACACTCTTTGACTCTCTGTTTCGTGGTTTCTTTTGTTTAAACTGTCGTGCCACGAGAAGCATTCTTGCCCGTGAACGACGAGCGAAAGAAGCATAGGAAAAATGTTGAACAATCAAAGAGAATCGTGGTAGTGAGAAAAAACGGCACAGAGACTGCCTCTTGTCCATAGGAATTTTTATGTAAGAAAGCAGATGAACAAACGTTACTCGAATAGGGCTTTCATGCATAGAGATATTATAGATAGAGTATGGGAGTCAGACCTCCGCCCGTACCATAGCTAAAAAGAAAAAGAAAACCGTGGTACCCTCTCTGTATTTGTCTAGGGAACAAGTGCTGAACATTTAAATTTCTCCTTGCAAACATTAACTCTCTATTCAATTTAATTCACTTAGCTTTCAATTATTTTCTCGTAATATTTTCTCGTTACTAGTATTATATAATATATAATAATTATATTATATTATATTATATTATTATATATATTATATATATTCACATATAATTATTTTATATATTATATAATATATAAATTGTATGAATGAGTAATGTAACAGCCGTATCCGTTTTTTAAATTCGTAATATACAGAGCCAACTCAACAACTCATGCTTTAGTAAAGAGAGATAGGTAGGGTACCGTGGTCTCCCTTCTTTTTCTAGTAGTGGGACAATCTCACATACAGGTCGGCATATGCCTCTTTAACTCTGTTTATAACATCGATATGCTTTCAGATCATATATCGCGTTGTTGTCGACCTTCGTTTATATTTGTACGACGGCGAATCGCATTGGAAAACGGTCGACGATCGCTGGTGAATCGTTAGCGATAATGCCCGAATCAAGGATCCGAAGACAAAGACAGGTTTTGCGAGCAATCTGCTTAGAACAACATCGGAATCTGTTACGTCATTGATCGATCGTTTCCTTGAATCAGGCGACGCTATTATCGCAAAGCCTACAATATTATATTAGCGATCGTACTCGCCTAACGTTTTCGGTTGTAACACATCGACGAACAGTCGTGATCCTAAAATGATTATATTTTCTAGATGCGAGTAGAGGTATTCCTATTACACTCGCCACCAGTACTGTTTCCGTAATGCGTGACGCTATTCTTTTAAATCGAGTACTATTTTTCGTCGTGTCAACGTTTCCCATAGAAAAATTTAGCCCAAACATTTAGCATAATTACGAATTGATTTCGCCAGAGTACATTTCGCGAAAGGCAAAGTTTTTAAAGTCCTAATCGTTTGTCTAAGTTGACATTCCCGTAGAGAGATGGTCTCGACACGCCCGATAGTTTAGGTCTCCTCGTTAATTTTAAGAAGTATTCGGTAATTGAGCAGAAGGTGTAATTAAAGCAGTGGTTCTTAATCTGTTCGAGCTCACGGCAGAGTTTAAAAGAAGATAACGGATCGAATATTATTATTTTTACTTTTGTAGTCGTTATTCAAAATTCCGACGTGAATAACAATTTTGTCCATCTCTGGCGTCGATGAATGAGAATGAAACGGAGAGTCGCGTGGGTTTCCAAGCTTCTATTTCAATCACGTTAACAGTAATTTCGTTCGAACGGGGAAGAGGAACGTTTCATTTCGTTCTCATTTATCTGCTCATCAAAGAATTCGGCGACGATCAAACGACTAGAATTATTCGTAGCGAGTCGATCTGAGATTTTTCTGTTATCATCTCCCGATAAAAGTAGCTATCGATTCTCTTTTTTTTATAATGCAGCGAGCGTGTGCAGCAAGATTGTGCCGCGAGCGACTGTATATAAGCGTGAGAGAGAATAACGAATGCGACTGGAGGAAAACGAGCGACTGGAAGCTAGCAATTCGCGTAATCTACCGAAATCAGATGTATGCGCATAACAGCCTCCAGCATCGAATCCTTAGATTCCTTTCATCCTGTTTCCCTCTTCGTCTGAGTTTTGCCCCCTCTCTCGATGTATTTTACGTGTATATTCCGTATTTAGGGCCTCGCCTCGATCCACGTAGTAATTTATATTCAGAACAGTTTCCCCGTCGCTTTTTTCTTAGTGACCCCGTGCGTCGCCGAACTTTTTAACGGACCGATCCAAAGTGTACGAGGAGAATCGCCATGACCACACAATTACCGGTTTTATGCTTATTTTTTAACGTTCGTCTCCTTCGCTTCTTTACAGCGAAAGTCTTCGCCCCATTTACGCGGGAATCAGCTCTCCGGAAACGACAAGAATCGCAAATTTCTTTACTTATCGTTCGAGAACGGCTCGAGGGTCCGAACAAACGCGTCCGATCGTCGGACGTTCTCCATTTTTTTACGCGGATGAACAGTTATGATTATTTATTTATTAGGTACTATTAAGCTGTCGATACACTTGTTCTCAATGAATTAATACAAACGAAAATAAAGAACAGACTGCGTGGGAGTTATTATGACAAACCAAGAACCGGTGTGTCATGTTATTGAAGAATGTTTGAAGAATGTTTGGAGAATGTTTCGGAATATGTGGTTGAAATATTATGGTAGAAGAAAGTGACCAAAGTCGAACTCCCAATTGATTTTTCTTGTATAACTTCCTTAAATATTAATGATAAAATCAGATTTACTATGGGAAAAGATTTTATTCTTAATTTATATAAAAGATTTTAATGAGAAATATTTTCAAACAGTACTGTATACAGTCGTGGACAATTTGTTGGCCCCAATATAGTGATATTTTAATGTAACATTACAAAAAAAAAAAATACAACTTTATATAACTTTTCAATCTGCATAAAAAACACTGTAATTAGTTTTCGATCAAATTCTGCATTTGTTGACTAACAATTAAAAATTTGAGTAGCTACAAACTTTTGTCGTAAAATTGATTGGCCTCAAAATCGAATAGAATGTTTGTGAATAAATTTTACAGTGATATTTTATTGTAATATTACATACAACATATTACAAAAATATCACGTTATACAGCTGTTTAAACTGCATAAGACTCAATAATTAGGTTTTCGAAAATATCCTGCATCTGTTGACTAATAATTACAAAATTGCAGTAATGTTTTATATGATACAAGAAGACTAAAGACGAATAACAAATCATTTTCCAGCATCATCGACATTTTATTTTTTCTTTATGCAGTAGTACAAGTTCTTTATGATACCTTATTTATTAAAAATATTCACCTTGTGTAGATCTTATAAAACAGACTATAAAAGTTATCGGTAAAAAGATATAAAACTGTACGTCTTTTAACATGACTGTAATATTATTTCCTATCGTCCATGAAGAACCAAATATTCATTCGGTGACGTGATAATCGTATTGGCACAGAAAAATTCGCTTCCGCGATAAGTACTCTATGGAGCAAAGGTTTGACAACTCCCGATGACTCCATCACAGTAATCGACCTCGAATATGCTCGGTAAGAAGTCGAACTTCGTCCCACGACGAATTTATTCCTTTCCTCTTGCCTTGGTCTGTCGACTCAATGGGGAAGAAGGAAATCTTTGCGTTTCAAACTCTTGGCTCTTTTTGGTCCTCGCAATATTGTCTTAGAAGCACAAACGAAATTAAGTACATTCATTTCCTTGGTTTCACGCAAGACAGATCAAAGTTTTGCCTTCGTTCATTTTATCTTGGACCTTATCGCTTGCCGTGGACTTCTCTGCTTGACCACTGATCACCGCGCATACGAAGGTAAGTCCAACCCCTATCATGGCGCTGTAGAAGGCCCAACCTGAAAGTATCAGGAGAACATGATATGTGAAGAGGTGGCACGAAGGAAATCCGATACGTATCAACTAACATCTCTTAACGCCTTCTAACATATTTTAACACTATGAAGTCTGGCAACACCACAGTGGTGACCTTCGCAAAGTATTGCCTGACAACAGCCGGCGACAAGCGAAGAAACAGAGTTAGTGGTGCCGGCGCCAAGCGAAGAAATGTTTAAAAACAGTGCGGCCGGCAAAGTGTTAACATCTCCTAATAACTCATGAAGAATGACGTAATATACAGCATCGTGGGAATTTTCCCTTTAATTCCCCTTCATTTCCTGGCACACTTCCCTTTAATTTCCCTCCATTTCCTGGTATATTTCCTTTCACTTCCTGATACATTTCCCTATAATTTCCATCCATTTTCTAGTATATTTTTCATTAATTTCCCTTCATTTCCTTACACATTTCCCTTTAACACCTCCTCCATTTCCTGGTATATTTCCCTTTAATTTCCCTCCATTAGCTTATATATTTCCCTTTAATATTCCTCCATTTCCTGGTATATTTCCCTTTAATTTCCCTCCATTAGCTTACATATTTCCCTTTAATATTCCTCCATTTCCTGGTATATTTCCCTTCACTTCCTGGAACATTTCCCTATAATTTCCCCTCATTTCTCTGATATTTCCCTATAATTTCGCCTCACATCTGTGATATTTCCCGGTTTAATAACGTTGCAATTTGCTCCACGCGGGAGTTCAATAAAGTTGCAAATCGCTCCCCACAGGAGTTCAACAATGTTGCAAATCGCTTCCCGCAGAATTTAACAATGTTGCAAGATCAACATCGAGCGATTTGCAACATTGTTGAACTCCGAGCGGAGCGGTTTGCAACAATGTTGAATTTGCAACTTTGTTGAATTCCGCAGGAAGCGATTTGCAACTTTGTGTAATTCCGCGATGAGCATTTTGCAACTTTGTTGAATTCCTGTAAGAAACGTTTTGCAACATTGTTGAACTCTGCGGGAAGCGATTTGCAACAATGTTGAACTAGGAACTTTGTCGAGCCCCCGAGCAGAGCGATTTGCAACTTTGTTGAATTCCTGCGAAAAGCGATTTGCAACATTGTTGAACTTGCAACTTTGTTGAATTCTGTGGGCGAGCAGCTATTTGCAACAATGTTGCAAATTTTTGGAGATTGCGCCGCTCAAAATTGCAACAAAGTTGCAATGAGACAAAATCCGAAAAATCGACTCGACTTTGCAACATTGTTGTACTTTTGAGCGAAGCAATTTGCAACTTTGTAGAATTTTAAGCAGCGGCAACTTCAACAATATTGCAAATCGCCCCGCTCAAAATTGTGATGGGAAATGTCGGATTTTTACTCCTGGTATCAGAAGAACTCAGTGAGTTTCGATGATGTAGGTCAATTTTTAATTTTATCTTGAAACTTACCTTATTGTATCAGCGTCCGTAGGTGTTAGTAGATGTATGATGGTTTTAGGGTGTGTCAGGATATGTTAGTAATTGTTAGGATTTGTTAGGAGATGTTAGGAGAATTTAGGAGATGTCAAAGTTTGTTAGGAGGTGTCAGGAAGTATTAAAAGGTATTAGGAGGTGTCAGGAAGTATTAAAAGGTATTAGGAGGTGTCAAGATATGTCGGTAATTGTTAGGAGTTGTTCGGAGTTGTTAGGAGATATTAAAAGGCATTAGAAGGTGTTACCAGGTGTGAGGAGGTTTCCAAATGCGAACCGAAAGGTTAGTGATCGGAAAAGTTAGTGGTAAGTCATTGGTGACTAACGCTGCCTGAATGAAGTTAGCGAAAAGTTAGTCAGTTACTGGTGATTGGCGCACCCTGAACGAAAGTATGCCCCTTTGATTCGGTAAACAACGCTAGCCGGTTTGTCGGTTCGGATGCCGTACCGTAGGCGCAGATGTGCCTCTTTCATGCGACAACCTATGCTAGCTAGTTTGTCGGTTAGGTTGCTATCTCATAGGCGCAGGGATGCCCCCGGTATGCGGCAACCAATACTAGCTGGTTTGTTAATTCGGTTGCCATCTCGAATTTGAGCGAACAAGGTTTTGTGTGGCTATCCCCCCTCCCCCCAATTCTCGTATTAGGACAAGAGGGCGAGAGAGTGTGCGCAGGGCGTAGTATTGTCATTACGTGACTAAGGGTACCACATGTTAATATTACTGCCATAAGAGAAAAAAATTAATTAATATAATACATTTCCAATGATTTATCACATTGTTCTCCTGTAACATATTCTATGGCGCCTGTTTCATTATACATCTCCAGTATTAGATCGTGATGTATTGCATTCGAATTTAGTTTGCGAGTCAGAATATCAAGCAATCATTGCATCGAGACTTTTCAGGGATGTTTTCATCATAATTACTTCATTTCTACTCGAAGATGTGATCGATAATTATGCATAACCATAGTGAGTATATGTTTACCAAGAGTGCAGTCAGCAATGTAGAAAGCATCCGATTCGGGGCCACAAATCCTCTGAACTCTCTCCGCTCCCCAGCCAGCAGGATACAAAATCATCCCCAGGAGATACGATATTCCTGTTAACAAGAACAAAGTGTTAGCTGAAAAATCAAAATCCCTACGAAGTTCAAGATTGATGTTGCAACATAATTATTATTATTAAGACTCCGTTATAGTAATAGCCTTCCAGGCCCTTATTCAACTATTCTTCATGTTTCGATTATGATGTAGATCCTTTTCAGAATAAAATGACTACAATTTTATGTATAGTAACAATATAACCGGCATCTGACTGGAACCAATTCATCAGGTTTTTTAATTCCATTGTTTATCCACTAAAATATATTATTCACTGCAGTGAATAACACATGTGATATTGGTTGTCTATTGACAACGCTCAAATTGAGAAAATAAGCAAGGATTTTGATATACCTAGCATCCGTATACACAAGTTAATGTCAGCACAGATTAACATATTATTTACCGATCTATCTAGAAAAAAGATTACATTGTAGAAGAAAACTTTCTTAATTTATTATATATTTACCTAATCTGAAATTAACTTCTGCATGTTGTTACTAGGTGTTTATATTCAGTTTGGTGTGTCCAAATCAATCTTTGATTATAAACATGTACAGGAATAAACTTTATTCATCTATAAAATATTGTATTGAAGAAATTTGTCTAAATTAAATGATAGGTATGATGTTTCTGAATAAATGTTTCGTTATAAATATACATATACAACTACAAATATATATGTACATATATATTTATAGTGAAAAAGTTAATTGAATGTATGTGACAAGCTTTGTCTATTTCCAGTAATTAGGCATTGTAAATACATAACGAAAAACACACTTAATAAATTCCAGGAGATAAACACTTGGATTAAAAAGTCCTTATCTAGGCTCTCTGTAAATAATATATTGATATACACATGTTATTGTCGAACGCCCTACTGTAAATTGTAAAACTCTTTTTAAATAGAGCAGTAGTTAAAGTGTTAAAAACGATTGAATTTATACCTAAAAAGCTACTATTACGATGGAGCTTCACTTTATGAAAGTCATTCTTAATTATTATTATTATTATTATTACCGGCAATTACTTGCGCCACCCCAGCCAAATTGAAGATGCTCTTCCTACCGATGCTCTGTATACAGCAGCCAATCAGAGCCGCTAGCACCGTCAAAGACATGATCGCCAAGCCAAGGGACATGAAGAAGTAAGAAGCTTTCCAGCAAGCTGGAAAGACGCTGGAATCCGTCGCGATGCCATCGATGTTGAAATTGGCACAGTGCATCTTCCCATGCAGTCTGATGCAACGATTGAAAATGCCGACTGTCGGGACATATAACTCTGTTCCATTTCCTGGGATGAAACATGATTTCAGTAGATTATTATATGCATAGATCTATTATCTTCATTTTCTACATTATGAAATAAAAATTTTATTCAGAACCGAAGAAATTTTATACATTGCTATTATTTTTATTTTCTACATTTGTTATATACATAGTTCATTATAGTTTGCTTTCTACATTTAACGTAACAATGATCAATTGGCTATTTTATTTACATTTACATTATTACTATTACATTTATCCCATTGAAAAACATTTATTGCATACACTGCTATTATTTTTATTTTCTACGTTTATTTTATAGTTCATTATAGTTTGCTTTCTACATTTAACGTGGCAGTGCGCAATTGGGTAACTTATTTACATTTACATTATTACTATTACACTTACCCAATTGAAAATCAATGAAGCATGTCACTTTTTATTATAAAGTGAGCAATGACGCCAAAAACATTTATTGCATACATTGCCATTATTTTTAATTCCTTATTTGTTACAGTTTGCTTCTGTACATCTAACATAACAATGCTCAAAGTGGTTGCATTTCTCCAATTGAAAATCAATTAAGCATGTCAATTTCTATCATAAAGTGAGTAATGGAGCCAAAACTATTCATTGTATATGTTGCTATTATTTTTACTTTCTTATTTGTTATAATTTATTATAGTTTGCTTTCTACATCTAACATAATAGTGCTCAAAGTGGTTGCATTTATCCAATTGAAAATCAATTAAGCATGTCGATTTCTATCATAAAGTGAGTAATGGAGCCAAAACTATTCATTGCATACATTGCCATTATTTTTAATTTCTTATTTGTTACAGTTTGCTTTTGTACATCTAACATAACAATGCTCAAAGTGGTTGCATTTATCCAATTGAAAATCAATCAAACATCTTAATTATTAAACCAAATCAATTAAACAATTAAGTCCAAGTCACCTATATTAAATTCTTCCAATATAAATTTCAGAAAAGTATATTTTTATCATTCTATCGAACCGAGACTATAGGCCGAAAACGTTCCACTAAGCTTCATGCTTGGAGGGCCACAAACGACTTCATTTATTATTCTTAAGCTTCCTCGTTTGCAGAGAACCAGGCGCGTCACGAGTCTTTCTACTAACGTAGCTTTTCATTTTAGGTCAGATCATGGGTGAACACGTGTGTGGATACGAGTCATTAATATTTAAACCCACGTCATAAATACTGATTATTCAAGCATCGCAGGTCTTCGGGGAAGCGAGTAATGGTTGTCTGTCAGCCAGAAGACAATGTTGTCCGTAAGAATTAAGAAAGAGAAGATACTTACTTGTATCTTTAATCGTCCGTGGACCAACGAGCCATTTGGGAGTGATGAGGCCCGATAAAACTGCCATTAACGCCACTAAGGACAGAAGCGTCCACAGCAAGCTACGGCCAGTGACTATCACATAGCACATGCTGTCGGCTGAGTGTTGGATCTATGCCATCCTCCGAACTCAAGGTTCCCCCTGAAACATATTTAAGGCACACGTTGGATCACTATGGTATTTCTATATCGACTTTTCGCTTAAAAGACCTGCGAGAATTGCGGTGCTGTTTAAATGTTATAGAATGCATGAGCTCGGTTCGCAAGAGTCATTAGTCAACTGCAGATCTTTATGTATTTATAGGACATTTTGATGTTCAAGAAATTACAAAATACACACAATATGGAAGAATATAATAGACATTGAAAGTACAGTTCATATCATAATATTTGCAGAGTAGAATACATTT